GGGGGGGGGGGGGGCAATATAAAACTTAAGTAAAACAACGGGATTGGGCTAGAATTGCAAAATATAAGTGGGATGGAAATGAACCAGTAGTCACGGCGTATTAGTACTGTTTGTACCACGAGTCCAAACAAACAGCTAACATAATAATGATTTGGCAGATGGTATGATTATTGCAACATAGTATATATTAATGAACACAATGTTTTGAAAAGGCAACATATGTTTGACAGATGGAAGCCTACTATTGAGGTGAAAGTCAGCTTTTACGTTCATATCCAGCGAACTGATGAGATGATCAATGTGGGTGTTGGGGGAGACGTGTGAAAGACAAGAAGCGCGGCCAGTTAAACAGACAGACATAATATATACCAATAGACAGGTAGGAAGACGGATCGTTCGATCGACTTTCCTTCAAACTTATGAGGGAGAATAGGGCGCAATTCTGATTAGACATGAGACCAAAACTGAGTCGACAAAATAAAGATTGTTGTCTCTACAACAGTTCCTCATATTCAATATATACTGTACATCCAAAATAAAAGAAAGAAAGATATTCCTTGGGAATAAAACTGGCATTGAGAACAGGAGCCCATTCACACGGTCTCATAAAGTCTGTAGTGGGCTGGCCTTTTCAAAGCAATCGGTCAATAAATGGGAAAGTCTCCAACCAAAGTACAGCTCAAGGGCCATAGAAGGTCGCTTTCATCTATCAGTGGTGACTGTAGCTCCCATATCCAGAAAGGAGAAGTACAGGAGGATAAGACATACGCAACACAAAGAGACGAAGAAGGAAGGAATGGAAAAGAACAAGAGAAGACTACCCCCAACCCCCCTCCCAAATAAAAAAGGCACCCCAGCCTGAAGTAGGGCCAGCAAATAACACGTCTTCCTGACAACTAAGAACCAATAAGTCATCGCGCGTCAACAATTTGCTAGAAAACCCTAGACGATTAGATAAAACAAAGCGAACCAAGCCAAGTGACAAGAACGAAATGGGGCTGCTCCTTCTGCACTTATCGCTTCTACTTGTTTTGTTTTCAGGGTAGGGGCTCCGCATTACTACTTGTTCAGTTTAGTCGCGCTAGGTCATTCTGGGTGACTGGTCATGTGAGTGAAACGTTACCCCATTATCCACAAAGCTCAAGTCTTCTGCTTGAATACATTGAGCAAAAGAAGACGGTTGATAGTTGATTGTAAGATAGTAGATAATTGAAAGACAGACAAATAAAGATAGTGGTGGCTCCTTCCATAATTTATATACATGACGTGCTATGAACGGAAACATAAAAAAGAGCACATGCAAAATATTATTATAACTAGCCGCGCTCTAGAGTTGACGGATAACGTTTTGCTTCTGATTTATCTCTTAAT